TGAGCTACTTTGCTGGACTTTGGTTTTGCTTAGGTGTGCCCGATTCTTCCCTTTGAAATAAGACAATACTGTTTTAGATTTTACAGAAGCCCACCCACAGTTGAGAGACCATTAAAAGAGACTATGGACTTTTAGGTGTTTGGATTTTTTTAAGGACTGTGGGGTTTTTAAGTTGTACTGTCTCATGTTGTGATATTAATGTTAACATCATAGTTTGAGGACAAGAATTGGAAAGCTTATGGTTTAATAGTGATTTGTTTGTGTGTCAAGTTGACAAGGGGCCAATTGTGCTGGATAGCTTTATTGTCAACTTGACACACCTGGGTTGAGGGAGCGTCAATTGGGGAATTTCCTCTATTGGACTGGCCTGTGGCCATGTCTGTGAGGCATCTTCTTGATTGTTGTGTGATGTGGGAGGATCCAGCACATTGTGGGTGGTGCCACCCATGGGCACATGTACCTGTGTTGAATAAGAAAGCAGGCTGAGCAGGGGCCAGGGGAGCAAGCCAGTAAGCAGCATTCCTCCATGGCCTGTGCTCCAGCTCCTGCTTCCAGGTTCCTGCCCTGAGTTCCTACCTTAGACTCCCTGATGAACTGCAACCTGGGAGTTGTGAGCTGAATAAACCCTTTCCTCCCCAAGTTGGTATTGGTCAGAGTATTTTGTCACAGCAATGAAGAAACAAACTAGGACAGTGAGTATATATTCTGATGTAACTGCAGGAGCCAGGAAAATGGAAAGGAACCACGGGGTAAAGGGAATGAAGGAGTTTGAGAGAGGTGGGTAGTAGGGCACAGGTTTTATTAAGGGGGAAATGAGAAAATGGGGGAATACTTTAACAGGAGATGGAGTAGAAAGTGTTATACAGGGGGAGTGAGAGGAGAGATAAATAAGGATTAGGTGATGTGAAAAACCACAGGGAAATGTGTTAGTTCAAAGAATGACTTTATAATTCTTAGAAGAAAACATTTATTTACTTAGAGGGTAAGGGAATTACCATTGAAACACTGGTCTCTCCTTTGTAAATAAGGATCAGGTTGATCAAATTAGGCTGTTGTTGGAACTGGAGAGAGTTCAGCAGTTAAGAA